AAAGTGGTACTACCTTCCATGTCTTTGGTTTCAAGTTTGGTCTACCTTGGAGGACCGTCCCTTCTGTACCTTGTGCTTAAACCAGAGGTCCCCAACCTTTTCGGCACCAGGGACCAGTTCCGTTGAGAGAAGTTTTTCCGTGGACCGGAGGGTGCGTGGTTTTGTGTGCTGCCTGCATCCCATGGATGGGGCTTTGCTTGTTTGTGTTGCTGGCATGCTGTGGCCTGGCACCAGTCCATGGACCTGGGGTTGGGGACCCCTGATTTAAACAATCATCTTGAAAGTGGAACCGAGCTAAATTTTGACCTCAACACTTGACCTCCTTAACAAGCTTTGTGTAGACTGTCATGCCACAAACGACACCCCCTCCTAAAGATTTTCCTGCTCTAATAAGCCTCCTTACCTGAGCTGTTGCGGCTCCATCAGACAGACGAGATGTTTCAGTGGCTTCCATAGACAACCTTGCGTTCCCTGTGATCAAGATGAAAGGAGATGGACAAAAAAATGTTTGGAAGCTGAATGAGTCGGCTGTTGCAGGAGTTCCCAACCCCCGGTCCATGGACCAGTACCGGGCCGCGGGATGCCAGCAACTGGGCCGCATAAACAAGCAACACCCCATCTGTGGGATTCAGACAGCACACAAACCCACCCACAGAACCGGTTCCTAGTGCCCAAAAGGTTGGGGACCTCTGAGCTATTGGGAAGCACTACACACTGAAGGCAGTAGTATGTGTAAGAAGAAGCACAAGAATGAAATGGCTTTAGGCTTCATTGCCCGCAGAAGTAACCTATCACTTACGTGACAACAAGACCTGAGCTGGATCCTCCTCTGAGAAGCCCAACAGCTGCTCCACAGAGAGACCAGAGAGATCATCTCCGCCTCCAGGAGGTACCCTGGCCATCTTCATCAACTGGCCCTGCAACTTAAAATATTAAAACAATTGGACGCTGGAACAAGGGGATCCTTTTGTGTCTCCAAAGTTAGACCGTGGTATATCCACATCCAACTAGATCCATAGTTGGAGACGCAAATTCCCTTGGGATTCCCCTTCTTCCTATGGAATAATCTGGAGGGGGAAACACCACTCTGGGAGTGAAAATGGAGGGAAACTAAAATCTCTTCCACTGTCACCGCCTGCATTTGTGTCTCCAAAGCTGGACCTTGTTATATCCATAGGTGGAGATGCAAATTCCCTTTGGATTCCAATTTCCTCCTAGGGAATAACCTGGAGGAGGAAAAACAGGACTCTGGGAGGGAAAGGGAAGAGAAAACCAAGGTGTCTCCTTTATTTGGGCACTTGAGCCGGGCAACGGAAAGCGGCCCTTCCTCCCTGGAGGGGATCCTCCCAGAAGGACAAGGAAGCCAGATCCCCGGGGGATCCTTCCTCCCAGGAGGGGATCCTTCCCTCTCCTCGCCTGCCGCCGCCTCCGCTCCTCCCGGGCCCGGCTGAGCAGGGATCTCTCGGTCGGGGTCCCCTCCTGGGGGACGCTCTCCGCCCGGCACCCCCGCAGCCAGCCCGCCATCACCGGGGGTAGCGCGGCCAGGAGCCGCTCCAGGATCCCCCGGTCCGCCAGCCCGGCTTGGCCGCTCCGCTCGGGCTTCAGCCAGCCGGGGCAAAGCGGCTGCTGCAGGCGGCTGCAGAAGACCGGCCGGTGCCCCGCCGACGCCCGGCAGCCCCAGCGGAGGAAGCCCTCCGCCTCCTCGGAGCCCCGCGGCGCCGGCGCCGGCGGCTCCTTCTCGGTCTCGGCGGCAGGAGAGCCCGGCGCTGCTCCCGGCCTGGGCGAGGCCATCGGCCGGGCCGGGCTCCCTTGACCGGTGGTGCCTCCTCCTGGTTCAGCCTCCGCTCCTTCCCTGCCTGCCTCTGGCCGGGAGCCTCCGCCCGATGCCGATCCGCTGCGCACCGCCCCGGGATCCCTCCGGATTCCCTCCCATCCTCCACTCCCGGCCGCCGCCTCCTTCTTCCCGGGAAAGGAGGGCGGGGGGAAGCCTACCGGCTAAGCGGGATCGGGGCAAGCGCAGCTGCCACTCACCCCCGGCTCTCGGCTCCGACTTCAGCGTAAGGCCCTCTCGGCCTCTGGGAAGGCGACAGCGCGCTTCTTCCTAGGGAAGCTCTCGGGTTCTCTCTGTCCCCTCCTTTGAAGGGGAGTGAGTCTCCTTTGAAACGTCCCCGGCGGCCAGCCAGTCCGTCTCTATCCTGCGGCAGGGCACGGCTAGCGAGGATTCCCACGCTTGCTTTGCCCAGGTAGGGATAGGGATAGGGATAGAATAGAATAGTTTATAATAATAATAATAATAATAATAATAATAATAATAATAATAATAATAATAATAATAATAATAATAATAAAGTTGGAAGGGACCTTGGAGGTCATCTAGTTCAACCCCCTGCTCAGGCAGAAAACCCTATACCAGCGGTAGGCAACCTCGACTCTTTTATGACTCATGGACTTCAACTCCCAGAATTCCTGAGTCAGCTATGCTGACTCAGGAATTCTGGGAGTTGAAGTCCATGAGTCATAAAAGAGCCGAGGTTGCCTACCCCTGCCCTATACCATTTCAGACAAATGGCCGTCCAGTCTCTTCTTAAAAACTTCCAGTGTTGGAGCATTCACCACCTCTGGAGGCATGTTGTTCCACTGGTTAATTGTTCTAATTGTCAGGAAGTTTCTCCTTAGTTCCAGGTTGCTTCTCTCCTTGATTAGTTTCCATCCGTTGCTTCTTGTCCTGCCTTCAGGCGCTTTGGAGAATAGCTTGACTCCCTCTTCTTTGTAGAATAGAATAGAATAGAATAGAATAGAATAGAATAGAATAGAATAGAATAGATGGAAGGGACCTTGGAGGTCTTCTAGTGGTCCATCCCCCTGCTCAGGAAACCCAACACCATTCTAGACAAATGGTTGTCCAATCTCTTCTTAAAAATTTCCAGTGTTGGAACATTCACAACTTCTGGATGCAAGTTGTTCTGTCAGGAAGTTTCTCCTTAGTTCTAGGTTGCTTCTCTGCTTGATTAGTTTCCATCTGTTGCTTCTTGTCCTGCCTTCAGGTGCTTTAGAGGATAGCTTGACTCCCTCTTCTTTGTGGCAACCCTTGATATTTTGGAACACTGCTATCATGTCACCCCTCATCCTTCTCTTCATTAAGCTAGACATACCCAATTCCTGTAACCGTTCTTCATACAGTATGTTTTAGCCTCCAGCCCCCTGATCATCTTTGTTGCTCTTCTCTGCACTCTTTCTAGAATCTCAATATCTTTTTTACATCTTTTTTACATTTCTGTTTGCAAAGCCTGTGGGTGGGTGGATTTGTCTTTGTCTTTTGTAGATCTCTCAAAAGGATTCGGAGAGGATTCCAATCAGCCTAGGGAGCAACTCCCCCCCCCCCCCATTGGTATTTTTAAGCCACGGAAGAACCTTCTGCTTGGAATTGGAAGGTTGCCTTCCTGGAGGGTCTGAATCCAAAGTTAATCTGGATAACCATTTGTCTGAAACATTATAGGATTTCCTGCCTGAGCAGGGAGTTGGACTAGAAGACCTCCAAGGTCCCTTCCAACTCTGCTATTCTATTTCTATTCTATATTCCATTCCATTCTGTTTTGTTCTATGCTATGCTATTCTATATTCTATTCTATTGTTTTGTTCTATGCTATTCTATTCTATATTGTTTTCTATCCTATCCTATCCTATTCCATTCTCAATATTCTATTCTATTCTATTTTCAATAAAGATTCTATTCTGTTCTGTTCTATTCCCTGCTGTTCTGTTCTATTCTTATTCTATTCTGATTGGTGTGTGCTGTCATTCCAAGTCCACAGCTGGTTCATAATTATCTTTTGGGAGAGGGTCCATCGTAAATTCAAAGAGTTGCTAAGCAAGTACTAGCCACAGTCCTTAGAAACGAAAAGAAAACTTCAAATATTTTATTGTGAAATTAAAGGACAAGCACTATAGTAAATCTTTACAAAGTTGCATAAAAATGGGGATTTGTGGAGAGGAAGAAGTGTTTTCCTGTTTTTATTAAGGGAGGGGTGTCGGCAGAGGTAGTTTCATCGCTATCATAATATTTTTGTAACATTAAACCTGATTCTGCTGTGTTTATTCTGCACTGCAGGACAAACTTTTGCTTTCTTCTATGGGACACCACATCAAATGCTTCCACAGGGATATTAAATCCTTCTTGGTTGGGTTTTTTTTTTTTTACAGGGTTAAATTTTCTCATCAGCCTCAGTCTGTTTTCATGGGACTTTAACCTTAACCAACCATATAATCCTCGTCAGCCTCTGATATAACAGTCCCAGATTACATCAGGAAAAATAGTCAAGATTGGTCTAACCATGTGGAGAGGGGCTCATAATTCATTGGTGAAGGCTTAAGCAAAAAAAACAAACAAAAAAACCCACAACTCTTTCCATGTTCCACTCTTTTATACAGTTTCTCTCCTGAGTGGAAATTTTCTGGTAATTTAAGAAGACACGTCTTCTTAAAATAGTGGCTTTGCTTCATTCCTTGATGTATTGTCTCTCCTGTATGGATCAGCTCTTCAGTCCGCAGGTTTAGCAATCGTAAAGCTCAACCAAACTCAGATATGTATGTATTTTCTTGGGGGAGGGCCAGTACCGGTACAGAAAATTCATTTACACTCACAGGACTTCCTATGGGAAACGAGTGCCACGTTTTAATCCATTTCCACACTTCAGGCATTTTTATGGTTCTCCCATGTGGATTCATTTAGGTCTGATGAGACGACATTTCAAACTGAATGTCACTCCAATCATCATTACTATTTCTGTATTTCAGATATGAGTCTCTTTACGGGAAGAAAACAAGATGAAAGCTCCCAAGCTATGTTTTTTTCTCTTGTTGGGAAAGGTGATTTTTCTGACTGAAGTTCTTTCCGCACTCTTGAGCATTTGGGTGGTTTCTCCCCTGTGTGAATCCTTGTATGGCAAATAAAATAACTGCTGCAATTGAAGCTCTTTCCACATTCCACTCATCTGGTTTCTCCCCTGTATGAATATGTCTAAGATAAGTCACATCTGAGTGTAAGCTGAAGTTCTTTTCAGAGTCCTAACACTGATACACTTTCTTCCCGGTGTGCATTTTTTTATGTTTCTTAAGGTGGCAGTTTCGCCTAAAGTTCTTCCCACACTCCAGGCATTTGTATGGTTTTTCTCCTGTGTGGATCCTTCGATGGTAAATATAGGTCGTTCTCTGACGGAAGCCCTTTCCACACTCGGTACACTTATATGGGTTCTCCCCCGTGTGGATTCTTACATGTATCACCAGGCTAGATCTTCTACCAAACTTCCTTCCACATTTCAAGCAGGTATATGGTTTCTCCCCAGTGTGAGTTCTCTTATGACTTGTAAGGTGGCCGCTCTGACTGAATCTCCTTCCGCACACCAGGCATATATACGGTTTCTGTCCCGTGTGCTTTCTTTTGTGAGCTGTGAGGCGACTTCTCCTACTGAATCGCTTTCCGCACTCCAGGCATTTATACGGTCTCTCCCCTGTGTGAATCCTCTTATGGTACATAAGATCCGAGGAGCCACTGAAACTCTTTCCACACACCAGGCACTGATACGGTTTCTCCCCTGTGTGAGTTCTTTTGTGTTGCATAAGGCTAAAATTACGCCCGAAGCTCTTTCCGCAATCCAGGCACTTGTATGGTTTCTCTCCTGTGTGGATCATTTTGTGGCGAATAAAATGACTGCTTTGATTGAAGCTCTTATCACACTCTGAACATTTATATGGTTTCTCCCCCGTGTGGCTCCTTACATGCTTGATAAGGCTGGAACTTCCACTATACTTCCTTCCACACTGCATGCACGAATACGGTTTCTCCCCAGTGTGGGTTCGTTGATGTCTGGTAAGGTGACCAGTCTGACTGAATTTTTTTCCACACACCAGGCATATATATGGTTTCTCCCCGGTGTGGGTCCGTTCATGGACAGTAAGTTTACATTTGTGAGTGAAGGTCTTTCCACACTCCAGACATTTATACCGTTTCTCCATTGGGGCATTTTCTGGGGGTAAAATAAGCAACTGTTTCTGGCTGAAACCCTTTCCACACACATATAGATTCTCGTCTTTATGTGACGTAAGATGACTGTTCAAAGTGAATTTTTCGCCACAATTTATAATTCCATATGGTGTCTCTGGGATGTATGATGGGTGATGTAAAACAAGAGAGGAGCTAAGATTGATATTTTGCCCATGCTCTTGATGTTCACAATGTTCCTCTTCAGTTTGGTTTGGATAATATTTACTGAAAAGAGATGTTCGTTTGTCTATTTTGGCAAATCCGAAAGGTTTTCCAACTTCTTCCCTTTGTTGAAGTTGCTGGGTTGGGAGGCCAAGGACTTCATTGTGACTAGAAGACATCTTCCTTCCATTCTTTCGGCAGCTTTTCGTACTCTTTTGAGGTGCCCCCCGATTTCCAAGTATTCCTTTTTCAGATTGGATCACTTGAAATAGCGTTAGGCTCGGCTCCTTGTTATTCTCAGGCTCCTGCCCATAAGCTTATTTGAAAAAAGAAAAAAAAAGTTCATTATTTTCATCACAGAATATGGTGCACCTGTTATTTCTGCACATTTCCTGGATATGCTGGGTTCTCTGTATGGTTTTCTTAAAGACAGGTAGTATAACCAAGTTGCATTATTCGTTCAGCCACCACAGAAACTTACCGTGGTGTTTAATGAATGATATTTACCCTCAAAGTTACATCTGTTGCTGGTCCCCGCATTCATGTGAAAAAAAACATGGGTGCTTGGCAGCCCACCCAAACTTATAACCATGGGTCCCCCCCACCTGTCTCTACCCTTTGCCAGCCACCTCAACACATTAATTATTTTAATTATTTAGTTAATTTTTTTAATCAGAGCAAAAAATCCATTATTGTTCAATTTCCAAGAATTTGCTGGATTTCGCTTTGGGTGCCTAAAGCTTTCATTTATGGTTCTACCTCAGACATTATATCCCTTTGGACAATTCCACACTTATTTTTCTGAGGTATGTTTTATTTTCTGAGGTAATCCCTTATCTGAAAGATTAAATAATGAGAAGCATGGGGTATCAAGAACAAACTGACCTCTTCAATTCCCCAGATTTCTCAGCTTGAAACCTTTTAACTTCTAGAAATACTTTCCATTTACATTTTTCCCAGGGTCCCTCTTTCTTGTAAAACAGGCACTCAACAATCCTTGCAATAAAGCTTTGTTCTCCTCAGTGTTGTGATCCCCCTTTAGATCAAATACATAGTACCACATAGTACTAAGTGTTGAACCATCCAGGGAAAAATGTCACTTGTTCTGATCTCTACAGGGAGTTTACACATGGTTTTATTGAGAGACAGAGAGTCTTTTATCCAAAGAGATGGTATGAGAAGCTGCCACTGATTATTAGCAACCTAGCAGATAGGGCGGTTGTAAGGAACAACTGCCCTATCTCCTAGATCAGTGGTGGCGAACCTATGGCACGGGTGCCAGAGGCGGCACTCAGAGCCCTCTCTGTGGGCACGCGCGCCGTCACCCCAGTCCTAGGCCTTCATCTGGGTTTTATAAAACCTTTTCGCTTTAGGCCTCTGCCGCCGTGTGCAAAAAAAAAAGGTTCAATCAATCAGTCAATTTCAACTTCTCGCAGGAAAAAAAAAAGATCTTGCAAAGTTGGAATTGACTGATTGAACTTTTTAGTCCCACCCAGTCTGCTGTTACCACCGCACGCACACCCGCCCAATGGGCCACATCCATCCAATTGGCCACACCCAGCCAATGGGCCACACCCACCCGGCACCCGAGGATGCATAAGTGGGTTTTGGGTTGCAGTTTGGGCACTCGGTCTCTAAAAGGTTCGCCACCACTGTCCTAGATCAGGGGTAGGCAACCTTGGCTCTTTTATAACTCGTGGACTTCAACTCCCAGAATTCCTGAGCCAGCCATGCTGAGGGGAAAGGGAGAGGTTTCCAAGCTGAGCCATGCTGGTTCAGGAATTCTGGGAGTTGCATTGCATTTGCATTTATTGCATTTATTGAAGTCCACGAGTCATAAAAGAGCCAAGGTTGCCTATCCCTGTCCTAGATTCAGGGAAGTATCTTCCTTACCTAAAGTGGTTCTAGTTATCTGCTCTGGAATCAGTCCAAAGAGAAGCTGTAATCTTCGCTAAAGAACTTCCTGAAAAGCTCAGATGAGATATGATCTTGTAAAGCATCTACCAACTTCTTCATTTTACTTTAGTCTTTGAAAAAGAAGCCCCAGAATGTTCTTCTTGAGGACTTATGGCAACCAAAGACTTTCCACAAATAGCTGAATCCAGAGCAAAACAGGTCCTTACCCAGAGCGGCCACATTCCTAGAATTCTCCAGCATGACTTCCCCGTATAAAGCTCTCTGGCTGGGATTCAGCAGCGCCCACTCGTCCTCCGTGAAATACACAGCCACCTCCTCAAAGGTTACTGAGCCCTGAAAATCCAAGTAAATGTTCCTCAACAGAAGTCCCAGAAAGTTCTCTCCCACATTTCCAATATCCTAAAAGTGAGTTTGGTAAGATAGAAGAATGCTTCTTTTCTGACATAATGTACTACAGGGGTTTTATAGCTCTCGCTCCGACAATCCACCTCTGGTTAGAATTTCTTGAAGACTTTGAAGAAGTGGGTCACTTTCTTACATCTCCTTCAGTGTGAAAACTTTCGGTTCATTTTTTTTTTCCTTTTGCACAAGCTACCATTTTGATGAAATAATTTCATACCACACATATATAACTTTTAACTGGATCTCCTTGGACATATTGCCACAATTTAACTGCTCTGATTTTTTTTTTCATTTGTTCTGAGTTGTCTTACTAATGCTTCAATAAAATTTAATGTTAAAAATAATTCCTGGCTTTTCTTTATTTATTCACTTCTTCCCTTTATTGTTTTTACAAGTAATTCAAGGTGTCGAACATATTCAACGCACCTTACATGTCTTATTTATCCCCACAACAACAATCCTGTGAGGTGAATTGGGCTAAGAGTGTGTGACTGGCCCAAAGTTGCATAGCTGGCTTTCATGGCTAAGGCAGGATTAGAACCCGCAGTCTCTTGCTTTCTAGCTGGTGCCTTACCCACCAGACCAAACTGTATTTCTTGCTAGCCGATTCCTGGGGTTTTCCACATACTTCAGACAGCAAAGGATTTATCTTAAATAAATTAATGTAACCCACTACAGGTATAAGAAACTTAAACTTATGATTCCATCAATGAAGTCAGTATCCCAATATGATTTGAATGGAGCAAACCAATGATCATGAGAGCTAGAGGGAAAAGCCCCTACTAAAACAATCGTCATGCAAAAGAAATCTGAGTTTGAGACAGAAATATAATTTGAGAAAACGTCTCAGGTGTGACACTCCCTAGTTCTTGTCAAGATAAAGGGAGGGAGGGGGCAGATGCACTCAGACTTGCAAGCTGAGGAATTCTGGGAGTTGAAGTCCACAAGCCATAAAAAGGCCAAGTTTGAAGACCCCTAGTGTAACCCTACCAAGAAAGTGGTATTACCTTCCATGTCTTTGGTTTCAAGTTTGGTCACCTTGGAGGACTGTCCTTTCTGTACCTTGTGCTAAAACAATCACTGTGAAAGTGGAACCAAGCTAAATTTTGATCTCAACACTTGACTTCCTTAACAAGCTTCGTGTAGACTCTCAGGATACAAATCAACCCCCCAAAAGCAGGGGTCCCCAACCCCTGGGCTGGAGCCCACTACTAGGCTGTGGCCTATTCGGAATTGGGCCACGTAAATGGCTGGCCGGAGCTCAACTTGCGAGAATGGTGGGGCAGCGGGCACTCGCACATGTGTGCACCAGCCCGCCACTCGCACAGTCCAGTTCCCCTCTCCATCCCCAGCCGGGCTGCCGAACCGCAAAGGTTGTGGACCACTGGCCCTAAAGGATTTCCTGCTCTGATAAAGCTCCCTACCTGAGCTGTTGCGACTCCACCAGACAGAGGAGATGTTTCAGCGGTTTCCATCGACAACTTTGGCTGCCCTGTAATCAAGATAAAAGAAGATGGATAAAGAATATTTGGAAGATAAGTAAGTCAGCTATTGGGAAGCGCTGTCAATTAAAGGCAGAAATATCTGTAGAAGAAGCACAAGAATGAAATGGCTTCAGGCTTCACTGCCCGCAGAGGTAACCTGTCACTTACCTGGTAACAAGATCCGAGTTGGATCCCCCTCTGAGAAGCCCACAGAGAGACCACAGAGATCTTCTCTGCGTTCGGGAGATACTGTGGCCATCTTCATCAACTGGCCCTGCAACTTAAAATATAGCCAGGGTCAAAGAAGAAGAAAAGTTAAAACAATCGAACACTGGAACGAGGGGATTCTTCTCTGCCCCCAAAACTAGACCGTGTTTATATCCATAGTTGGAGCCGCAAATTCCCTCGGGATTCCCCTTCTTCCTGTGGAATAATCTGGATGGGGGACCACCACTCTGGACCCAAAGTGGAAGGAAACCGAGGTCTTTTCTATTGCTACAACCTGCATTTGTGCCTCCAAAGCTGGATTGTGTTTTGGATCCATCAGTTGGAGACACACATTCCCTCGGGATCCCCCTTCTTCCTGTGAAATAACCTGGAGGAGGAAAACAGGACTCTGGGGCTGAAAGGGGAGGGAGACCAAACTCTCTTCTCTACCGATGCCCTTGAGCCGGGCAAGGATCCCCAGAGGAGGGGATCCTCTGCTCTCCTCACCTGCCGCCGCCTCCGCTCCTCCCGGGCCCGGCTGAGCAGGGATCTCTCGGTCGGGGTCCCCTCCTGGGCGACGTTCTCCGCCCGGCACTCCCGCAGCCAGCCCGCCATCTCCGTGGGCAGCGCGGCCAGGAGCCGCTCCAGGATCCCCCGGTCCGCCAGCCCGGCTTGGCCGCTCCGCTCGGGCTTCAGCCAGCCGGGGCAAAGCCGCTGCTGCAGGCGGCTGCAGAAGACCGGCCGGGGCTCCGACGACGCCCGGCAGCCCCAGCGGAGGAAGCCCTCCGCCTCCTCGGAGCCCTGCGGCGGCGGCGGCCCCTCCTCGGTCTCGGCGGCAGGAGGGCCCGGCGCTGCTCCCGGCCTGGGCGAGGCCATCGGGCGGGCCGAGCTCCCTTCCCCGCGGCGGCGCCTCCTCCTGGTTCAGCCTCCGCCGGACGCTGCTGCGCTAAGCCCCGAGGTCCCTCGGATCCCCCTCCCCTCTCCTCCCCTCCTCCTCCCCGGGCGAGCGAGCTCTTCTTCCTAGAGAGACGAGGCTCCGACAGCCCCCCTCTCCTCCTGCGCCCCCCGCCATTTAAATGGATCCCAGCGACCACCCTTCTCCGCCCCTTTGTCACAGGAGGCCGCGCCTGGCAAAGCTGCCTTGTGTTCTCCGACCCCGAGGAAAAGATCCCGAGGATCCCCCTGGAAGGGGATCCAGGGAGGGGGTGGGTGGGTCGGAGCTATTGTGGTATTGAACTCACACCTTCCCCCCCCCCTTTGTACAGCTAGTCCTCGACTTACAACTAGGGTTGCCAGGTCTGCTTCCAAAAAATAGCGGACAAGCGGGGGGGGGGTGTTTAAGTAGTAAAAAAAAGTAGACTGTACAGCTTTAGATTACGTACCATTTCATCATAAAGCTTTTGAATAAAAAAAATTGTCCACTATTTTGTGAAAAAAAATAGTGAACATAATGTGAAAAAAGCGGACTGTCCACTCAAATAGTGGACCACCTGGCAACCCTACTTACAACCGTTCATTTGGCGACCGTTCAAAATTACAACAGCATAGCAGAAAGGGACTTAGGACCGCTTTTCACACTTAACGACCGTTGTGGCAATCCCAAGGTCACGGGATCTAAATCGAGACGCTTGGCAGCTGATTCATACTTATGACCGTTGCAGTGTCCCGGGATCGTGTGGATCCCCTTTGGCAACCTTATGAGAAGCAAAGTCAATGGGGGAAAGTCAGGTTCACTTAACAACCGTGTGACTAACTTCACAACTGCAGCGATTCGCTTTGCAGCTGTGGGCAAGAAAGGTTGTAAAATGGGGCGAAACTCCCTTAACAAATGTCTCGCTTAGCGATGGTTTTAGGCTCAGTTGTGGTCGTTAATTGGAGGACTGCATGTTCTTTAAGCTGTGGAAAGCCTGGAATTGCAGGGCTCCCTCACGAAGGCTCTGAACCAGGATTGGACTGGATTTCATCTGGCCTGTTCAGAGATCAGACTAGAATACCCCCTCCTCCCCTCCCAACCTTCGGAGGAGTGCATGATGGGAGATGAGGTACTTCTTTGGGGCATGGAGTTCTCTGCTCCACGTCAGCGGAAAAGGGGGTTAATTGCACATTTCACCTTTTTTTATTGTTAAAATATCTTCTTGCACTCAGCCTCAAACTGCTCCCATAACAGTTTGGGAACCAACGCAAAAATCTGTGAAATCAAACTTTAATTTTGGCCTCTTGGGGACACCAGCAAAAAGTCACAAATGGTGCTTTTAGGCAGCCACTGGATCAAAGGACAGCTGTAATGGAAGGCAGCAAACATATCCTACACACCACCTTCCTCCTATTTCTACAACAACCCTGTGAGGTAGGTTGGGCTGAGAGTGCCTGGCCCAAAGTCACCCAGCTGGTTTTAACAACTAAGACAGGACTAGAACTCATGGTCTTTCTTGCCTGATGCCTTAACCACTAGACTTAATTATCTCTCCAACTGAGATATTAAATCCTGCTTTTTTCCAGCATTTTTTCCCAGCAGACTTCCTCTACTGCCACAGAACTAAAGCTTTCCCCCTAAATAAGGAAACTCTTCCCTCAATGAAATATGTCCTTCAGTGTCAAAGATGCTACTTCCTTATCCAAGGAAGCAGCCAACATCTTGTAAATTCACATCTCAGCTCTGGATTCTTTTTAATCTGGTTATTTTCCTGCCTGCTAAACATGGGCAGGTCCCCTTCTTACCAAAGAAATTGCCCCTTGGTCTGAAGGGGGAAGAGAATACCTCTGAGGAACGCAGTAAGGCAAACAAAGAGTAATGACTAACATGTTTTTTCAGAGTGTGATGGTACACAAAAAGTCCCTTGTGCGTTGAGGGACTGTGTCCCCAGTTACATCTGGCTGGCCCATTAGAGTTTGCAGAGAAGGCATGTTGAGCGTGCCGTTAGAATAGAGAATATAATATAATAATAGGAATAGAATAGAATAGCAGAGTTGGAAGGGACCTTGGAAGTCTTCTAGCCCAACCACCTGCTCAGGCAGGAAACCCTATAGCATTTCAGACAAATGGTTGTCCAATCTTCCAATGTTAGAGCATTCACAACTTCTGGAGGCAGGTTGTTCCACTGGTTAATTGTTCATTGTCAGGAAATTTCTTCAGTTCTAGGTTGCTTCTCTCCTTGATGACTTTCCATCCATTGCTTCTTCTCCTGCTTTCAAGTGCTTTGGAGAATAGATTGAGCCCCCCCCCTTGTAGCAACCCCTGGGATATTGGAACACTGCTATCATGTCCCCCCTCGTCCTTCTCTTCATTAAACTACTAGACATACCCAATTCCAGCAACCGTTCTCTATATGTTGTAGCCTCCAGTCCCCTAATCATCTTTGCTGCTCTTCTCTGTACTCTTTCTAGTCTCAACATCTTTTTTACATCGTGGTAACCAAAACTGGATGCAGTATTCCAAGCGTGGCCTTACCAAGGTGTTATAAAGTGGTATTAACACTTCACATGATCTTGATTCTATCCCTCTGTTAATGCAGCCTAGAACTGTGTTGGCTTTTTTGGCAGCTGCAGCACACTGCTGGCTCCGATTTAAGTGATTGTCCACTAGGACTCCGAGATCCCTCTCAGAGTTACTACTATTGAGTCAGGTACCACCTATAGTATCCTGTACCTACATCTTGGAACCTATATGTGCTGAGAACCAAGAGACATGCCTTCTCTGCTAGTGTGGAACATCCTCCCCCCGACATACTTGTTCCGCTCCTTTTGATTTTTTGAAAGGCCCTCAAGATTTTGCTTATACTGCCAGGCCTTGGCCTTCCAGGGAACCAGAGATTTCTCTCAATGGCTCCACTGCAGTGGGTGGCCATTTTTATCCATCCTCCGCCTATGGTTAATATTTTTGTTTTTATGATAGTTACTGCTGTGGGTTTTTCGGATCTTTTTAATCTGTTTTACACTGGTTGTTTTATTTATTGTTGTGTGCTGCCCAGACACATCTTTTGGCAAGATATATATATTTGATTAATCAATCCGTTAAAAAATGAAGTTGGGGAGTGCAGAAGCCCCGAAAGCCAGACTGAAGAACATCGAAGAACAATTGGGAAACAGCCACCCACATGAGCCGTTGATAGCATCGCTTTGACTGGACGAGAAGTGATGGCAGAAAAAAACCCTTTGTTTAATGAGTTATGGACAAGCAGTGTCAGCAGGATCCTCTCTGAATGGACGCCGCATTGCTAAGCTGGCTCAGGAATTCTGGGAATTGAAGTCCACGAGTCATAAAAGAGCCAAGGTTGACTACCCTTGCTTTAGTTTAGATGGTCCCGTCCTTTGAACAGAGTTTCTAAAAATCACTGAATTTCAACTAGCCCTTCTTGGTACAATTCAGTTCATTTAGTTCAGGGTGCTCCCTCTTCACTTTGTGGTTTCACGTTTTCCAGTTTCATTCTTTTCACATTTCCTTGAACATTCCCAATACCCTCACCGCAACTCCATGCTCTATGACAGCATTCTTCTCGGAAGCTCTTCCAATCTTTTATCCTCCTTTCAGGTGTTCCATTCGCCACATTTTCTTTTTCTTATAGAACATTTTTTTGTGTGAATATACATTTAAGCAGCAGTTACCAACCCAGGCAGATTTTCAGAAGGCTAAGTTGGGCCAGCAGAATTTGGATCACCTGGAATATCACTGGTGCAGGCTGGAAGAAAAGAAAAAATTAAAAATATCAAGCTGGTCCAGTAAAAAGATGTTGAGGCCGTTCCTTATATGCTTTAGCCTCCAGTCCCCTAATCATCTTTGTTGCTCTTCTCTGTACTCTTTCTAGAGTACAGAGAAGAGCAACAAAGATGATTAGGGGACTGGAGGCTAAAGCATATAAGGAACGGCCGCTGGAATTGGGTATGTCTAGTTTAACGAAGAGAAGGACGAGGGGGGACATGATAGCAGTGTTCCAATATCTCAGGGGCTGCCCCAAAGAAGAGGGAGTCAAGCTATTCTCCAAAGCGCCTGAAGGCAGGACAAGAAGCAATGGATGGAAACTAATCAAGGAGAGAAGCAACCGAGAACTAAGGAGAAACTTCCTGACAGTTAGAACAATTAACCAGTGGAACAACCTGCCTCCAGAAGCGGTGAATGCTCCAACACTGGAAGTTTTTAAGAAGAGACTGGACAGCCATTTGCCTGAAACGGTATAGGGTTCCTGCCTGAGCAGGGGGTTGGACTCGATGACCTCCAAGGTCCCTTCCAACTTTATTATTATTATTATTATTATTATTATTATTATTATTATTATTATTATTATTATTATTATTATTATTATTATTATTCTGCCGAGAACATAATGGACGAATTCAAATTCAGCTCCAGTATATCAATCAGGGGCATTTGCATGGGGTCAAATTGATATCCACAATGGCACAATCAATCCTTCCTCTTTTATGTGCATAAATTCAAATTCTGCTTATATTGTGGCTTTGCTTTTGGGTGAACAGATCAGCAACATAATTCACTCCACACTGATCAAAAGGCATCAGCTGTCCCAGGCAACACACAGAGAAAGTCAATCTATCCATTCAGTGTGGAGAACAGGAAGGGGACATTTGGTGTCATGCATAACTGTCTAGTAGCTATGATCCTTGGAGAGGACCAAGCTGAGAAGAGATGGGAAGATATACATCCAAGAGAGGAAAAAATCCCCAAATAGAAAGCAGCCAGTAGAAAAAAAATGGGGAGAGAAGTCCACTGGGTGCAGACATCAGAACTGGTAAATAGCCAGTCAGCCCCAGTAGGGCTAGAAGAAGATAGGACAGGACAGGACAGAATAGAATAGGAATAACAGAGTTGGAAGGGACCTTGAGAGGTCTTCTAGTCCAACCTCCTGCTTAGGCAGGAAACCCTA